CCTCAAGGGCTGCCCCACTGGGTCCCAACTTAACTGATTCTTAGAGGTATAGCAGTTCACCTGGGCATGGGTTTGTGGATGCCCTCAATGGCCACTGCATTAGGAGTTGCCAGTACTGGCTCTCTTCCCTTCCCTAGTGGTTTTTTACTTTTTTTATTTTTGAGACAGGGTCTTGCTGTGTCATCCAGGCTGAGTGCAGCAGCACGATCATAGCTCACTCCAGCCTCCTGGGCTTAAGCCATCCTCCTGCCTTGGCCTCCCAAAGTTTTGGGATTACAGGCATGAGCCACCACGCCCAGCCTCTTCCCTCACTGACACTCCTCTCCCCTACTGGTGTTTGCTGGGATCACCTTGAACTAAGATTTTGAATCGGCTGCTCTGGAGCTAGATGGAAAATCCCTCAGACACTGGCTGTGTGTTGCCAAGTCACTAGGACTAACCACAAGGCTGCAGGGCAGGCCGCTCACCATCAGAGGTGACTCTGAAGCCAGTTCTAGAGACAGTATTCCTGGGCACAGGGCCTCTGTCCTCTGGGGTGCAGGCTTGGAGGCAGACCAGCACAGCTTTCTTATTCCCACTAACTGGGATTGCCCCAGGACGGAAGTGCAGATGACTGACTATGTTAGCTATTGAGCTAAGCTTTATAATTCCTTTCTTTGGAGTGGGAAAATCCAAAGCAAACATGGCATTCTATGAGTGTGTGCAGAGAAAACTGCTCCACCTGGGGTCTGTGGCCCAGAACGGGAATGACAGGCACCAACTCTGCTTGACCTATAGCCTGAAAAGTTACTGGGGTCCCCACACTTCCCTTCTTAGCCATTTACCAAGTCCAACTCTTATGTCTCTAAGTAAAACACACTAAAGAAGCAGAATTCTTTTTTTTTTTTCTTTTTTTAAGTTTTGGTGACAAGAGAGATCCTTGGATGGGAACTGGATCTGTAAGAAAAACAAGGACAGAGCTGTCAGCTTAGACAATGCCCCCGCGTGGCCTGGAATCCTGGTGCCTTCTAGTTTCACATCCGTGGAGAAGTAAATGATTTAGGATGCAAATTTCTCCCATTCCTTGCGTCCGCTCTTCCTTTTAGCTGCACGCCTTGGGCTGTAATGCCTTTTGCCAGGCACCCGGCCACGCTTGGCTCCTGCTCAGCTCATGGGTGCCAGCTCCTTCCCTGGGGGCCCCTGCAGCTTCAATGGAGTTTCACTCCCCAAAAGCTAGACTACAGTTTTTTGACCACGTTCAGCGCCCAACATGAGTGGTAAAGAAGTCCTTTGTTTTAGGGCCTCATCCTCAGCTGAGGAAGATGCCAAAGGAGAGGTTCACCAAAGTTTAGGAAAGAAAATTCTAGAAGCACCTTTCCTCATAGAGGAAAGATCCCACTGTCGTCAGATGGCTCTTCACTTTCTGGGCAGAGAAGGATATCAAACTGCCTGTTAAGAGATGAGCCTATAAGCTCAACATGACTCAGTGTACCCCCATGATGCACCCCCACGATGCACCCCCATTGCCCTCTGCCACAGTGACTCTCATACAGGGTCCTGGGCAGTTTTCATTGGCTAAAGTTCTTCCCTGGTCAGTTAAAAAGTAAGCTATTGTTTTTTTTCTTGAAATAGATCTTGTGAATTCTGTCATCCAGGCTAGAGTGCAGGGGTGCAATTATGGCTCATTGCAACCTCCAGCAGCTGAGCTCATGCAATCCTTCTAACTTAGCCTCCCAAATAGTTGGGATTACAGGTGTGTACCACCATGCCTGGCTAATTTTTTAATCTTTTTCTTCTTCTTCTTTTTCTTCATCATTTTTTTTTTTTTTTTTTTTTTTTGGACAAGGTCTTGCTATGTTGCCCAGGCTGGTCTCAAACTCCTGGATCCAAGTGATCCTCCTGCCTGGGTCTCCCAAAGGTCTAGAATTACAGGTTTGAGCCACCATTCCCAGGCAAAAAATAAGCTAATTTAAGAAAAATAAGTGATTTTACAGGTATCAAAAGTCAGTAAAATTGGAGAACGCTGATTTAACAAATGGTAATGATGATCATGATGACGATAACGGTGATGATGGTAACTACTTCCAAGGGCAATGGTTGTGAGGATTAACTGAGGGGATGTGCAGAATTGCCAGGTGTGGGGCCTGGTGACAGGGGTGGGTGGTGGTGATGATGGTCATGATGATGATGATGGTGATGGTGATGATATGATGGTGATGATGATGGTGACAGTGATGATGGTGATGGTGATGATAATGATGGTGATAGTGCTGGTGGTGGTGATGATGATGGTAATGGTGATAGTGGTGGTGATGATGATGGTGATGAAGGTGATAGTGATGATGGTGATGGCAATGATGGTGATGGTGATGATGGTGATGATAGTGATATGGTGATAGTGCTGGTGGTGGTGATGGTGATGGTAATGGTGATAGTGGTGGTGATGATGATGGTAATGGTGATAGTGGTGGTGATGATGATGGTAATGGTGATAGTGGTGGTGATGATGATGGTGATGACAATGATGGTGATGGTGATGATGGTGATGATGATAGTGATATGGTGATAGTGCTGGTGGTGGTGATGGTGATGGTAATGGTGATAGTGGTGGTGATGATGATGGTGATAAAGGTGATGGTGATGATGGTGATGGCAACAATGGTGATGGTGATGTTGATGATGATGATGGTGATGATGGTGATGGTGATGACGGTGGTGGTGATGATGATGGTAATGGGGATGATGGTGGTGATGATAATGGTCAGGATGATGTGACGGTGATGATGGTGGTGGTGATGATGATGGTGATAGTGATGGTGGTGATGATGATGGTAATGGGGATGATGGTGGTGATGATAATAGTGATGGTGATGGTGGTGGTGATGAGGATGGTGATAGTGACGACGATGATGGTGATAATGGTGATAGTGCTGACAGTGTTGGTAGTGGTGGTTTGTTGCTATGTTGAGTGCTTACCCTGTGCCAGGAACTGTGCTAAGTGTTTTATATACGTTTTTCCTGCTCAATCCCCCTGGCAATCCAATGAGAGCTGTGTTATTATCTCCATTTAATGAAAAGAAAATTAGGGAACTTGCCCCAGGCCTCAGAATACTGGGTGTTGAAGAGGCCTCTGACCCCCATCTGCCTGCCTCCAGACCTCAAGCTCACAATCAGTAGGCTCTGCTGCAAGGAATTTTGAAGATAAAATGCTTTAACTCAGGTGCATTCTTTATGGTGCCAGTGGACAGCATCCACCCACCTCTGTCACCAGGCCCTGCATTTCTGCACATCCCCTCTATTAATCCTCAAAACCATTCGCCATGGAGGTAGTTATTATTCTGCCCACTAGACATGACAGTGTCAGAGAAATTAAGAAACGTCCCTAACACTCAGCTATCAGGCATCAGGGTCAAGAAAGGAGCCGGCAGCTCTAACTCCAAAGCTTGCATCCTTCCCACCACCTCCATGTTGACAACAGCAACGGGCCCCACCAGCAGCAAGCTCTGTCCTCTAACACCTATCTCACCTCTCCCAACAAGCTCAAGAGGAAGGTACTATAATTTTCCCTATTTACAGATGAGGAAACAGGTTCTCAGCTGCTCAGAAAATACCTCAGGAAATAGCATGGCAGCTAAGGAAATACCATGTCCCCTGCCACAGACATGGGACATGGCATCACAGAGGGTGCAAGGGGATGGTGAGCTCTTACTGGAGTTTACCTTCTGGGCTTGGCTTTCGAGATATTCTGAACATCTCCCAGGCCCATGCTTTATGGAGCCCCCCTCGCCTATCAACTCCTGGGCTGGTGGAGGTCTGGACGTGGGGTGAAATGCTTCTCGTTACCCCTATGCTATCATCCCCATCATCATTTGCTAAGTGTGGACATGGCAAAGGGATCATCCTGGAAGTTCCCGGCGCCCCACCCAGACCATCACACCTCACACTCAATGTCTTCTTCAAGCCTCACAACAACCCTACAAGGTAGGTTCATTTCGCTCCATTGAGAGAGAGGAACCTTGGGAAATAATATATTACACCCACTGCAAAGGCAAGGCAAACAGACAATCATCCCGTTTCTGGGCTGGTGCATCTACTGCCCAGCTCCCGCTAGCTGTGAATGTGCTGCTAACAGCTCAGAGCTGCCCCCTTCTCTAGAGGACAGCCCTCAGCCCAAAGGGAGCTGCTCTTTCCACAAAGACATGCAGTCCCTACCCAACCCTTAGGGCCAAGCACGGACAAGGAGGAGCACCAGAGGGCAAGCCTCTCGCCTCTGCAGAGCCCAACTCTGTGTGTGTTGTCATTCTTGTTCCGGGCTCCTCCTTCTCAGCTCCTTCCCCTGCCTCCTCTTGTCTCCTTCACTCCCTCACTCCCTGCAAGCACCTCCTCAATAAACCCTGTTCATCCAACCCCAGTCTTAGGTTCTGCTTCCAGGGGCGAGGAAGATGGACGTGTTAGCCCTGCCCCTGGCCCTCAGGGAGCTTGCAGGACAGCTAGGAGACAGGCCACAGGCATACAACGGATCATCCACAACAGGAGGCGCAGGTGAAGAGGACGGGGCTGAGAAGATGGAAGACATCACTGGGGTTGGGAAGTTGGAGAAAGGTTTCGTGGAAGAAGGGGACTCTCTGGGTGAAAAAGAGGCAGGACTGGGTAGGAGACAAGCTTTCAAGGCAGGGAGAAAGTTCCGAGGAAAGGCTCTAGATGGGTAGAAACCTCTGCCCCCACCCCTCCCATTTCCTCCTGTCCAGGGTCTGTGACCAGGGAAACCACCTCAAGGCAGAAGAGGTGGGGGCTCTGCTCAGAGAATCCTGATAATGAGTCTTAGCATCATCTGAGAGCATCAGGTCTGCCCTAGAGGGCCATGCTGGCTGACCCTGAGGCCAGGAAGGAGTCACTCCATTGTCAAGCTTCCCTTGAGAGGCCAGGGGCTTGGCACACCTGGAAAGGCCACCTCCATTTGAAGGGACCAAGTGTGCCACATACCTGCCGGACCGCGGGCCTAGGGGCTTGTTCACAAGGATTCAATGATGTAGTAGGCAGCTCCTAGAGCCCCCAGAGCCACAGCCACAGTTCCGAGGGCTTGGAGGACACGCGTTACGATGACTGGAGGGTTTCCTTGAAGATCTTCTGTAGAGCAAAGCAGAAAGTGGGGGTGGTGGGAAGCTGGGCTTCATGGTGTCTACCAGCAGGAGAAAGTGGAAATTATATGGCCCCCTCAGGTTTGCAGGAATGCCCATCTTGCCCCTCTCCAAATTCCTCTGAAGAGAACACTTAACTCTTCCCACCCTTCCAACAAGTCCCTACCGAAAGACCCCCGACGATCGGAGTGTGAGCTGGCCTGGGATGCCAGCTGCCCTGAACACCCAGAGGGGGACCAGGTTAGGAAGGTGGTCAAGTTCACTGTGAGCCAGGCCTTGTGCTAAATACCTCACACCCAGTGTCTTCTTCAAGCCTCACCACAACCCTATGAGGTAGGTTCTATCACTTCACTCCATTGAGAGGAAGGAACCTTGGGACATAATATATTAGATCCATGCAAAGGCAAGGGAAACAAATGATGACGCCAATCATGGTGAGGAGGGCATTCAAAAAATGCAACACGCATTTTGATAAAAATCCTACCAAAGTAGGGATTCTTGTTTAATGTGAATATGGCTAGAAAGCCAAGAGCCAACATTACACTCCATTGAGAAAAGCATGCGGGTGCTACAATTGGAACAGACATGTCTTGCGCTGGCCGGACAGGGTCCCCGCCCCTCCCCGCTCACTCTCCTGATTTGGAGCCTCGAGTTTGCCTTTTCCTGCACCCAGACTGCTTCCGCTTTTCATCTGAAGCCAGAGAGAGCTTCAAGATCCTTTTGGACCTGGCTCACATGCTGTTGACCAGGCGTCCCCAAACTTTTTACATAGGGGGCCAGTTCACTGTCCCTCAGACCGTTGGAGGGCCGCCACATACTGTGCTCCTCTCACTGACCACCCATGAAAGAGGTGCCCCTTCCTGAAGTGCGGCGGGGGGCCGGGTAAATGGCCTCAGGGGGCCGTAGTTTGGGGACGCCTGCTGTTGACACTGCAATGCCCAGCTGGATGCCAGCTCAGAAGCAAGCACACTCTCGTTCTGAAACTCATGGAGCCTCTCTTCGAGGACACACGGCACTTTCCATCTTGCACATTGGTTTCCAAATATATAGGTCTTAGCCCTCCACTCAGACTAGAACAGTTTTAGGGGTAAAGTTCCCTGTTCTTGTTTCCCTCCCCGTGCCCCATGTCCTCTGCATAGTAATTTTCCTCAATAACACTTGTTGGTTTTAAAACGATACAAACCCATGGCATAATTTGGCCACGGATGGATGGAAATACTAAGTGTGTGGGTGGGATGTGGCTAACGGTGGCAGGCAGGACTTTCCTTGATGGAGCTACTGGGTGGTAGAGTATTTTTGGCTCCGAGCATGTTCTCCCTATAAGCCCCGGTATCTACTTGCTTCTTTCTATATGTAGGAGAGATGGAGTTTTTCAGCCCCAGAAAGGAGAGGGGATTGGGTGGGGGGGAGGCTGGAAGAGGAACAGGATGAGGATGAGGGGTGGGGGTCTCTGCTCCTGGGGTAGGGGTATGAAGTCTCCAAGTGAAAGGGCCTCTTCCATTGAGATCTGTGAGGCCCTCAGGTGGGAGGGAGGAGACCCCTCTCCCAGCCCATGCATGTAACCTAGCAGCACCAAACACGGGAACACCTTCAGTGTGTCCCCTACATGGATGGTGTCTTCCTATGAGGGCAGTGGCAGCCACGACACTGCTGCTGGTGGCTTTGTGAGAAGAGGAAGGACAGACAGATATTATGGGTGATGTCATGGGGGCTGCCAGCAACAGACCAGCCTGGGGTCACATGTCCCCTGTGGGGACCCCCAGAAAGAGCCCGGCACACTCTGAAGGGGGCTGAGGTCTTGCTGTTGTGTGGAGGGGGCATATGAGTTACAAGCAGGTTTTTATCATTTGACTCTAGGGACATTCATAGGCAGATCAGGAACCTAAGGCCCCTGCCTATGGAACAGGCCACTGAGGGGCCACGGAGGCATGTGGCCAGTGTTTAATCACAAAGCTCCTGAGCAACTTGGAATCTATGAGGGCTGGGAGGGAGAGTGTTTCAAGGATGGAGAAAAGAAAAAGGAAGCCCCTAGGAGGCAAATCCCAGTAAGAAAGAAAACTGGCCCCTCTCTGTGCAGGTGGGATGGGTACCCCAGGGGGTGGGGCCAGTCAGAAGGGATCCTGCCTGCCAACGTGCAGGAAGTGGTCAAAGGAAAGACAGAAAGGCTTTCCTTTGGCCTCGGATTCCCAAGAGGAAGTGATAGACGATTGCTAATAAGGTCTGGGGGCAGAGTCTGGCTCTGGGAACTGTGCACCCCGAGACTCCAGCCCCCCACGCTTGGAACCTGTAGAAGGTGAGCAGGTTGGGGAGTCCTCTCCCTGGTGCCATCTGCCAGTCCCGAGGCAGAAGGACGTCGAAGATGCGGCTATGGCACAGTCCCAGACGACGCCAGCAAGCAGAGCTGCAGGGGCAAGTGGCATAGGAGCAGGAATGCGGGGCGGCATGCGTCAGAGGCCCTGCGGGGACAGAAGGCGGGAGGTGAGGGAGGCACCTGCCCTGGGAGGCTGGCGGGGAGCCTGGAACACAGTCTGAGAAGGCACCCCCAGCAGCAGCAGCTGCAGGATGACAAGGGCGAATCTTGGATTTTTTCAAGGCAGCAGGATTTGGGACTGAACTACCCAAGGAAGGCAGTTCTCCCACAGAATGTTCTCTAACCAAACAGAAGACTGACTGCATGGGAAAATGGTTGTTTTATACCGGTGCTACCTAGGAATAGCAACAATACGATGACGATGATGACGACGACGACGACAATGATGATGATGGAGGTGGTGCTGATGGGGCAATAGCAGGATGCTCTGTACTTAGGCCCATCTCATTTAATTTCACAATAATCCTGTAAAGGGGATACTTCTGGTCTTGTTTTACAAATAAGGGAACTGAGGTTCAGATAGTTTAAGGGATATTCCCTTATGGGGAATAGATTGCAGAAGTCAGCTGCAACTCAGGCTTTCTCACCTTTAATTCAGTGAAAATGGAATTTGCAGGTGACTGCTCACCCTAGGAGAGGCTGCATGGGGATTCCTGGAATTGGAGCTGCCAAGTGCCATTAATCTCGAACATACTGATCCACCCAGGCAGTGACTGCGGCTCTAGTTTCCAGTCCCGAGCTTATCTTCCATTTCTGTCCTCCTCTGGTATGGATACCAGCAGAATGTAGATGATGCCCTCTCTGGTTTGGCAAGAGGATTTCTGGCTGGATCATTCCCTCTGTTTCCTGTTTGCAGCTCTGTGGCTTCCTCACAGAGCTCCAGATTTTTCTGACCCTAAGCTGGATGAAACCAGTAGTCAACCTGGCAGACTCAGGATACTTTCTGCTTAGACCCACCCATGACATGTACTTTCCCTGAATTGGGGAGAGGGGATTCTAAAGGCAAGACTTGTCTTTTCTCTTTCGTTAGTTACAAAAAAAATTTTTTTAAATTGAGATATAATTCCCAGGCAATAAAATTCACCCTTTTAGAGTGTTCGGTGGCTTTTAGCACATTCGCAAAGTTTTGTGGCCATCACCACTAATTTCAGAACATCTTCGTTTCCCCAAAAAAGAAACCCCATCTCCATGAGCAATTACTCCCCATTCTCCCAGTTCCCCCAGTCCCTGGAAACACATTTGCCTATTCTGAACATTTCATGTAAATAGAATCATTCATGTGTGGGTTTTTGGGAAACTGGATTCTTTCACTTAGCCAAATGTTTGTAAGGTTCATCAATGTCGTAGCATGTATCAGGATATCACCTTTTCATTGCCAAATAGTATTTCACTGTATTCATTGTATTGTGGTATTTCATACCACATTTTGTTTATCCATTCATCAGTTGATGGACATTTGGGTTGTTCCCAGTTTTTGGTTATTATAAATGCTACTGCTTCGAGCACTTGTATACAAGTTTTAGTGTGAATATATGCTTCTAATTCTCTTGGATGTTTACTGAGAAGTGGAATTGCTGGGTAATATGGTAACTTCATGTTCCTTTGAGGAAACACCAGACTGTTTCCATAGCAGCTGCACCATTTTACATTCCCACCTACTGTGTATGAGGATTCCAGCTTCTCTACATCCTCGCCAACACTTGTTATTGTCCATCCTTCTGATTGTAGAATAGTATTCCTGGGGGAATACTTGCATTTTCTTGAGCCACAATATTTCTGCACACAAAAAGTCTCAGATTTTAGAAAATGGCACGCTTTACTTACAGTTCTCACCCCGCATCTCTAACATTCCTTTCAACTGCAGAGAATTCCTTTGGAAGAAGTCTAGGGTGTTCACTGTAACCTCTGGCGAGCCTCGTTTCTTGCTTTCTTGCTTTGCCTCTTCAATAGGCCAAACTCCTCTCCAGGTATGAGTCACATGCATTCATTGAAAGACTTGGGAATGGAAAATTTTGCTTTCTACGGATACCAGTTCTAAAGACTAGAACCTAGAAATGTTTCTCTCAGTGGCAGATAATCACAATCACAATCTATACGACATATAGTATGCCACTCAAAACCATTTTCATATGTCAAGAAGGGATTGCTTCCTGGCCATGGAAGGATTGTTGGCATGGTGATACCTTGGATTTAGCACTTCCGTTTCCATCTCTTATTTATTTTGTGCCCACACAATCCCAGGGGAATAAACTGTGGCCCAGGGAGTGTGGCCTGTTCAAGGCCATGAAGCCATGGGCGCTGGCTCACGGCAGACCCAGGAGATGCTCAGAGAAAGATGCTCTTCCTCTTGTGGAGACTCCTAGGCCTCTTGGAATGGAAAGGTCAGTGCTGTGGTTTAGAGCGAGGGTTCTTGAATCAGAATAGAGCATGTTTCCCTTCTCAGTGCTACCAGCGTCTGCTCCAGAGCAATTCGTTTGATTCCTATGAGCCTCAGTTTCCCTATCTATAAAATGGAGATGATAATAGAAGACCTTTTATAGGATTGTCACATGTGAAAATTAAGACAGCTGCCGGGCACGGTGGCTCAAGCCTGTAATCCCAGCACTTTGGGAGGCTGAGGCGGGTGGATCACGAGGTCAGGAGATCGAGACCATCCTGGTCAACACGGTGAAACCCCGTCTCTACTAAAAATACAAAAAATTAGCTGGGCATGGTGGCGTGTGCCTGTAATCCCAGCTACTCAGGAGGCTGAGGCAGGAGAATTGCCTGAACCCAGGAGGCAGAGGTTGCGGTGAACCGAGATCGCGCCATTGCACTCCAGCCTGGGTAACAAGAGCGAAACTCTGTCTCAAAAAAAAAAAAGAAAAAGAAAATTAAGACAGCTGAGCTGAATGCTGGGTACACAGTAAACGCTTAGTGATAATGTTAGTTCACTATCACCATTATTGTTAGTAGTATACACCAGCCCACCTCCTAAACTCTGCTTGAATTCCGTCTACATAATCCAATGCTGATTCAGACACTGTTTGGCTCCCAAGAAGATGAGGAACCACTTTTCCTGACAGCTGCTACATTTTTGGACAGAGCTAATCGCTGGGAAGTCTTTTATGTTGAGCTGAAGTCTGTCTGTCTCTAGTGTGTTCCATGGGTAAAGTTGCTAGTTTAGAAAATAAAAATATGGATGCCCATGCAATATTTGGGACACACATACTAAAAATTATTTGTTGTTTGCTAAAATTAAAATTTAACTGAGAGCCTTATATTTTGTCTGTCTATCCTATCCATGAGCCTGTATTCATCCATTTTCACACTGCTGATAAAGATACCTGAGACTGGGCAATTTACAAAAGAAAGAGGTGTATTGAACTTACAGTTCCATGTGGCTGGGGAGGCCTCACAATCATGGTGGAAGGTGAAAGTCACATCTCACATGGTGGCAGACAAGAGAAGAGAGCTTGTGCAGGGAAACTCCCTTTTTTAAAACCATCAGATCTCATGAGACTTATTCACTATGACCAGAAGAACTGCCCCCATGATTCAATCACCTCCCACTGGGTCCCTCCCACAACACCTGGGAATTCAAGATGAAATTTGGGTGGGGACACGGCCAAACCATCTCAGACCCTTAGTCAGACCTCTGAGGACAATAAGGAAGAAGTCTATTCACATTTTCCACCTGACAGACAGACATCCTCCAATTCCTTCAATCAACTGTCATACACTAACTGGCCTCCCAACCCCTCTCACCCTCCATCAACCTGGACTATCTTCCTTGGGCTAGTTTGTCAGGCATCTTTTACAGCCCAAAAAAATAGCTTGATGAGGACAGAATAAAGCAGTATCATCATTTCCCTTATTCTAAACCATATACTTCTATTAATGCATCCTTGGTTTTAATTTTTTAGCAGTTGCATGGCACTGCTGATTCCTAATGAGCCAGTATTACTATGGAACCAAGTTAAATGTTAATATGTATGTGTGGCTGTGTCAATGAGACTCAGGATGATGAGAAATGACAAAACCCAGGAATCCTTGTCTCTTGGGTAGAAACAAAAACAAAAACCTTCGCACTCTACATCCAGCTCCAGAATACACGGTAACCAGGCATCACTATCCTACAAGAACCAACATCTGGGATTTCTTGGAACTCCATCAGCAGGAAGCCTAGAACTGCTGAAGCTAGAAGACTGCCCACCTGCTTTCCTGGGTTGAGGGGATGCCTTCACATTAGCATCTGGAGGTAACAGGCACCGAGAGGAGCGGCGGACTTCAGGTGCCGGAAGGGCTTGGGATGCTGGCTGCCCGGAGGTGGTTTCCAGGCTAGACTGCTGTGGTGTGGACTCAGGGCTAGGCTGCTGTGGGGTGGACTCAGGGCTAGGCTGCTGTGGGGTGGACTCAGGGCTAGACTGCTGTGGTGTGGATTCAGGGCTAGGCTGCTGTGGGGTGGATTCAGGGCTAGACTGCCGTGGCGTAGATTCAGGGGTAGGCTGCTGAGAGGTAGAGTTGGAGCTAGGATGCTGGCCAGTAGACTCTCGGTGGCGTCTGGCCTCTGACCTTTTCTTCTTGACCTTTTTCATGGTGGATCCTCTTAACCTAAACGTGGACCTACATGGAGCTGCCTAATTTCCTGGCTCCCTCCTGGAGGGGCCGTTTGCCCTCTGCCCTAGGGACCTGGCTCTGGTCTCCAACTGCACCCAGGCCCCACAGAGAACAGTGATCCACACTTCCTGTGAGGTCATAAAAGCCAGGGTGGTTCCCATGGCAGGGCTGCAGGGACAGTCTTCTCCACAGACACCAGCCTGACATTCTCCCTTGTCCCAGGCTGCCAGGATAGGCAGGGGACAGCAGCTGCCCTGGTCCTCACAGCCCTGGTGAGGCCTGGCTGTGTGGGCCCATGACAGCCAGATCCCCAGTATTCTGCAACCAGAGCGCCACCTTCAGGCACCTCTCTGCCGGTGTGCTCCTGGGTCCACGTGAGCTACCTGTTTTGCTCTTAAGATACCTTGGATGTGATGCTCAGCTCTGTCACTGGTTTCCACATACCCCCTAGTCGTACACCTCAAAAATCCATGGTTACCACACATTTTGTGAGTTTTAGGTCACCTTCCTGAATATTTGGAGCTTCTTTGAAAGCTTTAACTCCCATGGCCCAGAGCTTGCTGGCATTTCAGAGTAGCTTCCCCTTCCCCAAAAGCCTACCCTCCCCCATGGGAGGGCAGTTTGGGGGCTGACCATTTTTTTTTTTTTTGAGATGGAGTTTTGCTCTTGTCGCTCAGGCTGGAGTGCAATGGCTCGATCTTGGCTCACTGCAACCTCTGCCTCCCAGGTTCAAGCGATTCTCCTCTCTCAGCCTCCTCAGTAGCTGGCATTACAGACGCATGTCACCATGCCCAGCTAATTTTTCTATTTTTAGTAGAGATGGGTTTCATCATATTGGTCAGGCTGGTCTTGAACTCCTGACCTCAGGTGATCTGCCCGCCTTGGCCTCCCAAAGTGCTGGGATTACAGACATGAGCCACTGTGCCTGGCTTATGGCAGCTACAGTTCTTTTTTTTTTTTTTGAGCTATTAGAACATTTATTTATTTATTTATTTATTTTCAGTATTAATTTTTTTTTATTGCATTTCAGGTTTTGGAGTACACGTGAAGAACATGCCAGATTGTTGCATAGGTACACACATGGCAGTGTGATTTGCTGCCTTCCTCCCCTTCACCTATATCTGGCATTTCTCCCATGGCTATCTCTCCCCAACTCCCCATCCCCCACTGTCCCTCCCTATTTCCCCCCAACAGACCCCAGTGTGTGTTGCTCCCCTCCCTGTGTCCATGTGTTCTCATTGTTCAACACCCTCCTATGAGTGAGGTGTTTGATTTTCTGTTCTTGTGTCAGTTTGCTGAGGATGATGGTTTCCAGGTTGATCCATGTCCCTACAAAGGACAAAAATTCATTGTTTTTGATGGCTGTATAGTGTTCCATGGTGTATGTGTACCACATTTTCCCTGTCCAGTCTATCATCGCTGGGCATTTGGGTTGGTTCCAGGTCTTTGCTATTGTAAACAGTGCTGCAATGAACATTCGTGTGCATGTGTCCTTATAGTAGAATGATTTATAATCCTTTGGATATATACCCAGTAATGGGATTGCTGGGTCAAATGGAATTTCTATTTCTAGGTCCTTGAGGAATCGCCACACTGTCTTCCACAATGACTGAACTAATTTACACTTCCACAAACAGTGTAAAGGTGTTCCTATTTCTCCACATCCTCTCCAGCGTCTGTTGTCTACAGATTTTTTTAATGATCGTCATTCTAACTGGAGTGAGATGGTATCTCAATGTGGTTTTGATTTGCATTTCTCTAATGACCAGTGATGAGGAGCATTTCTTCATATGTTTGTTGGCCTCGTGTATGTCTTCTTTTGTAAAGTGTCTGTTCATATCTTTTGCCCACTTTTGAGTGGGCTTGTTTTTTCTTGTAAATCTGTTTTAGTTCTTTGTAAATTCTGCATATCAGCCCTTTGTCAGATGGATAGAGTGCAAAAATTTTTTTCCCATTCTGTTGGTTGTCAATTCACTCTAATGACTGTTTCTTTTGCTGTACAGAAGCTGTGGAGTTTGATTAGGTCCCATTTGTCTATTTTGGCTTTTGTTGCCAATGCTTTTGGTGTTTTGGTCATGAAGTCCTTGCCTACGCCTATGTCCTGAATGGTTTTGCCTAGATTTTTTTCTAGGGTTTTTATGGTGTTAGGTCTTATGTTTTAGTCTTTAATCCACCTGGAGTTAAATTTGGTGTAAGGTGTCAGGAAGGGGTCCAGTTTCTGCTTTCTGCACATGGCTAGCCAGTTTTCTCAACACCATTTATTAAACAGGGAATCCTTTCCCCATTGCTTGTTTTTGTCAGGTTTGTCAAAGATCAGATGATTGTAGATAAGTTGTGTTGCCTCCGAGGCCTCTGTTCTGTTCCATGGGTCTATATCTCTGTTTTGGTACCAGTACCATGCTGTTTTGATTATTGTAGACTTGTAGTATAGTTTGAAGTCCGGTAGTGTAATACCTCCCACTTTGTTCTTTTTGCTTAGAATTGACTTGGCTATGCGGGCTCTCTTTTTGTTCCATATGAAGTTTAAGGTGTTTTTTTCCAGTTCTGTGAAGAAGATCATTGGTAGCTTGATGAGGATAGCATTGATTCTGTAAATTACTTTGGGCAGTATGGCCATTTCACGATATTGATTCTTCCTAACTATGAACATAGAATGTTTCTCCATCTGTTCGTGTCCTCTCTGATTTTCTTGAGCAGTGGTTTGTAGTTCTCCTTGAAGAGGTCCTTTATGTTGTTAGTTGTATTCTTAGGTATTTTATTCTCTTTGCAGCAATTGTGAATGGCAGTTCGTTCTTGATTTGGCTCTCTTTAAGTCTGTTATTGGTGTATAGGAATGCTTGTGATTTTTGCACATTGATTTTGTATCCTGAGACTTTGCTCAAGTTGCTTATCAGTTTCAGGAGATTTTGGGCTGAGGCGATGGGGTCTTCTGGATATACAATCATGTCGTCTGCAAATAGAGACAATTTTACTTCCTCCTTTCCTATTTGAATACCTTTTATTTCTTTTTCTTGCCTGATTGCTCTGGCTAGAACTTCCAGTACTATATTTAATAGGAGTGGTGAGAGAGGGCATCCTTGTCTAGTGCCAGATTTCAAAGGGAATGCTTCCAGTTTTTGCCCATTCAGTATAATATTGGCTGTTGGTTTGTTGTAAATAGCTTTTTATTATTTTAAGATACCTTCAGTCAATACCTAGTTTATTGAGGGTTTTCAGCACAAAGTGCTGTTGAATTTTATTGAAGGCCTTCTCTGCATCAATTGAGATAATCATGTGATTTTTGTCTTTGGTTCTGTTTATGTGGTGAATTAAGTTTATAGACTTTCGTATGTTGAACCAGCCTTGCATCCCCGTGATGAATCCTACTTGATCATGGTGGATAAGCTTTTTGATGTGCTGTTGCAATCGGCTTGCCAGTATTTTATTGAAGATTTTTGCATCTGTGTTCTTCGTGGATATTGGCCTGAAGTTTTCTTTTCTTGCTGAGCCTCTGCCGGGTTTTGTTATCAGGATGATGTTGGTCTCATAAAATGAATTGGGAAGGATGTCCTCTTTTTGGATTATTTGGAATAGTTTCAGAAGGAATGGTACCAGCTTCTCTTTGTATATCTGGTAGAATTCAGCTGTGAACCCATCTGGACCTGGGCTTTTTTTGGGTGGTAGGCTCTTAATTGCTGCCTCAACTTCAGACCTTGTTATTGGTCTATTTAGGGTTTCGACTTCTTCCTGGTTTAGGCTTGGGAGGATGCAAGTGTCCAGGAATTTATCCATTTCTTCCAGGTTTACTAGTTTATGTGCATAGAGTTGTTTGTAATAATCTCTCATGATAGTTTGAATTTCTGTGGAATCTGTGGTGATATCCCCTTTATCGTTTTTTATTGCATCTATTTGATTATTCTCAGTTCGAATTTCTGTGGAATCTGTGGTGATATCCCCTTTATCGTTTTTTATTGCATCTATTTGATTATTCTCTCTTTTCTTTTTTATTAATCCAGCTAGTGGTCTATTTTGTTGATCTTTTTGAAAAACCAGCTCCTGGATTTATTGATTTTTTGAAGGGTTTTTTGAGTCTCTATCTCCTTCAGTTCTGCTCTGATCTTAGTTATTTCTTGTCTTCTGTTAGGTTTTGAGGTTTTTTGATCTTGCTCCTCTGGCTCTTTCAATTTTGATGATAGGGTGTCAATTTTAGATCTCTCCTTCCTTCCCATGTGGGCAATTTGTTGCTATATATTTTCCTCTATGGACTGCTTTAAATGTGTTGGCAGCTACAGTTCTTAAGAAATTACTTAAATAATACGACTTGAATACTTGAATAATACAACCTGACTTTTATAAGAAACCCTATTATTTTGGCAAATAATTTTCCCTGAGAGCATAACAGCTGTTCAGAAAACTAAAAATTTTCTCAAGCTCATTACAGTGGCAACCACAGACTATCTCCCAAACCCCAACTGCTTGGGTTAAGCAGGTGACTGAATCTTTCCCTAAATTAATTAATTTAATGGGTTCATTAAATGTGATTTTTATTTTAGGACGGAAGAGGGTAAAGCATTTTTAAAAATGTTTTATGTTTTCAGACAGAGTCTGCTCTGTTGCTCAGGCTGGAGTGCAGTGGCATGATCTCGGCTCATTGCAATCTCTGCCTCCTGGGTTCAAGTGATTCTTCTGCCTCAGTTTCACAAGTAGCTGGGATTACAGGCATCCACCACCATGCCTGGCTAACTTTTGTGTTTTTAGTAGAGACGGGGTTTCACGATGTTGGCCAGGACGGTCTCCATCTCTTGACCTCGTGATCTCCCCGCCTCGGCCTCCCAAAGTGCTGGGATTACAGGTGTAAGCCACCGCAACTGGCTGGGAAAATTATTTTTAAAAGAAAATCTAAAGCTCACTCTGTGACTGCAACATAAAACATGGTCACCTTAGGCGACTACTTCCATTGCGAGTGCGTCAGGGTGGGTGAGTGTGGGACTGCCAAGTA